GAGACCACAGCAAGCCACATTGAGTAGAGGGATACAGCTCGGTCCCCGAAATAGTAATCTATCCCTGTAGCCCTGGGTTAAGCCAGCCGCTTTAAGGCGATACGGTTGAGGGAAGCCAGCCAAACAGCTACCAAGTGATGGTCATGACAGCGATATGCAGGGCCGAGCCTAGACTAATGACCCTTTGAGACAGGTAGATCCCGTCAGTGTAGGAAGTCAGCGCAGTCTAGCAGTCCCCGCCTAGAAAAAAGGTGCCAAGCTTGCGAAGGGGCGCATTTGCGAACGGTCTAGCTGTTACAGACATGTGCCTGATTCAAAGAGTGTGAGTCGAAACACTCGCCATTCGACAAGCAAGTACAGCTTAGAGCGGAATATCGACAGTACAGTCACAGCATCCTGCGTGAATGCCACCAATACGTGAGTGCGGAAGAGCACCCTGCCGAAAAGCAGCATACCGCTTTGCGATTCTCCGGTGCCGCTAGCGTCGGTATCCGTTGTCCAGAATTCTACGAAGCCACGATAGCCTCGTGTTTTCTCGTGAAGATGCATGGTGGCTTGTCCAGATCTCGCGTGTTCGCTTGGCATGTCAAAACTCAATACTCTCCGCATGGTGATCCGGGACCTGAGCCCATCATCCGCGAAGAAGAATACGCCACTTGCCTTGCGGTCCCACATACGGGAACTCGTGCAACGACTAAGCAGTGTATTTGTTCTTCAGCTACACAAGCTAGTACCATCAGCTGGGATTCGCTTGCATGCCCAGGTGTCGTGGCATGGCGCGCAATGCGATTTCGAGCTGCCTTCGGGTATTGCCACAAGATAGCGATACAAGAGCCACTGACGCTTTCCGCTAGCGAACGGTGATGTTAGTGATTGAGGCAATCCGGTCAGCCTCCAGTCCATCGACCGCTTGTAGAAGAGCTGAGCCAAGTGATCGACAACACTAGTGTAATCGTGCAGCCGCTGCTGTGGAGAGCCGGAGCCACCACGAGCACATGACCTTTAAAATGCTCAGCCCTGTAGGTATTTGGCAGTAACTGAACACTTCCTCATGCAACTGGATTACCCTCGAGTTCTGCTAATTCAACAAAGGGCTTGTTCATGGTAGTAAACCCAGCATCTGCCACCCCGTGTCGGTGTCTATTGCTTTTCAGGACGTCAATGTTGAGAGTAGTGTTCAGAATGCGCATCGACGCGCATACAGAAGGTGTAAAGAGCGAGGGTCTTGCAGGTACTTCTGCTGACCTTGCGCGGTTCCGCTTTAATGCAGGTACCATTACCGTACCAACGTGTTGCACGGTAACAAGCAAAGCTATTGACGTTCAGTGCAGCCTGACATCGTTTGGAACCAAAGTGTTGGATGATCCGACGCTCGGAGGTCAGGCGCCCATGAGATTCGATGGCAGAACAGCCCAGCAAAGGGTTGGAGAAGTTGAAGTCTAGGGTTCAAAGGTTGTTGAGCTTCATGTACCGTTCCTATCGCCTCCAGGGCTTCTTCGGCCCACAAAAGCATGAGCCTTGACACGGTGCTTGATTGTTTGTTCGCTCCAAGTGTTAGCATAAACGTCCCTGACCCCTTACCGCCATAACGCTCAACAGTGACAAATATTCCATCAGACGTCGTTATCGCATTGCTGGAGAGAGAGATGCTTTGGTGGAGCGGCGAGGCCACGGCTCTAGCGGGAATAATGGTCTTGGCGTGCGGCAATCGGAGCCCCCGATCAGCGGAGGCCTCGACGCGTCTCGCCCTTTTCGATCTTTGTCCCTTCATGCATCAATACTGAGGGCAGATTCGCATCAGTCGGGCATTCGCATCAGCCATCTGATATCGGCTGGCACTCCCCTTTCGCAACCTCGTCACTCTTACTCTGAGCTCGCGACCATTATCACGTCATGCAGACAGATGTCGCGTCCGGAATCCTCTGGCAACAGTCCGCCAAAACGTCGACGGACGGTTGAAGGGTCGTGCTGGCCTTGCAAGCAAAGACGAGTCAAATGCGACCTCCAGAAGCCCACATGTCGACGATGCCTCCTTTCCGCAAACGCGGAAGACTGCAGCTACGACAAGTTACTACTCAGATGGAAGAAGCGACCTGCTAAAACGGTGCCCGAATGCCTCCCACAGCTATCCATCGAGCGTTCGCTCAATAGCATTCACCTGGCATTCAATGAGCGAAGAGCACTGGAATACTTCAAAGCGCGATTATGGCCACTTTTCTCCACTCTTCATGAGCCAGTTCCGCCACCAGTCGCACTTGCCCTGCGCTCTCAACCTGTCCTCCAGGCCCTATGCGTATTTGCCGAGGAGCATCGGGCGCTGCAAGAGCGCGGATCGTCCAAACAGACTCTTGAGAGGAGACGCTTGCATTGCTTGTCAGTTATCCGCGGCCAACTGAGCAGCGAGCAATCCGATGGTGCTGCGCTCTCCGCACTTTTAGTTGCGGTGCTGCTTTTGTACTTCCTGGAAGGCTATGTCAACTGCATGTCAGATGACGCTTCGACCGGTTGTCACCTTGCAGGAGCGATCGCAATCATCAACGCAATGGGCGGCTTTCGAGCAGCATGGTCATCGTCAGACAGAATGACTAGAATGCTACTCTCGGAACTAGCATCCACTGATCTGACAGACGCCTTGCTTCAAGACAGAAAACCTTCGTTCCCAGCCTGCATTTGGGAGACAATGGAGTCAGGATCAGTGTGGTGGGAAGTCGTCCCTGGCACTACATCACTTGGGTCTGTTCTATCCACATTGGCTGAGATGAGCTTCTACCGCCACGAGCTACAAACTGGAGCCGAAGTTTGCGTCGAGAAGGCGCAGGCCTTTGAGCACGCGCTTCAGCCAACGTACTCCAAGCTAGAGTGTCCAGATGGAGACGCAGGACAAGACCTGCTAAGCCCTGTTACAACGGCATCGCTTTCACTTGTCCGTTGTTTCCAGCACGCAGGCCTCATATACCTTTACAGCGCTATTCACGACATTCCCACGAAACACTTTCTTCTTCAACAGCATGTCCATGCGTGTCTAGAGTGTATACAAGGCATGGATACGAGATCTAAAGCGCAGAACTGTGCTCTTTTCCCACTCTATGTAGCTGGCGCACATTCACTCTTGGAAGCCCATCGGGAATGTGTGATGAAGATTTTGGGGAACATACACAACAATCTGCGATTCGAGTCCGTGTTGTCTATTCGGGCAACTTTGGAGGCACTCTGGCAACCTTCTCGTAGTCCTACTACGTGGAGCGGAAGTTTCAAGAACACTGCCATGTGTACATTGGTTATATGAGAGAATTCATCGGTTTTTGCTATAACAGAAGATTGCGATAGTTCCGTCAAAACGCCTCCAAGCCCTACGACCACCAGCCACTTGCTCAACTGTCTAGTGTTTTCACCAGGGGCGGCCATAATTCATGTCGCATTATACAGAGATTCCAGACTAGATGTATACATGACTCTGAGGACTATCTAGTTGTTAAGATTGAAGAGTGTGTATGCAGCAAATGCGACAGGAATTGTAGCCACCCTTGGTGCCCGTATCCCAGCATGTTACCAATGTCTGAGTACCGCCTCCCTCACTCCTACTCAACGAGAGCCTCCACCTCGATTTCGACTTGCATGCCCTCGATACCAAGTTTGGTAATCTCGACACATGTCCATACCGGTCGGTGATCAGGCATGACGCGTCGCCAGCCTTCGATACATAGGTCCGCAGACTCGTCGATATTTGTGTGGTACGATCGAATAGCGTATACGTTCTTCCAGGACACGCCCTTTTCGACAGATTGTAGCGCCTTCTCAATGTTCTCAAGCGCTAGCTCCACTTGCTTTGCGGCGGTCGGTGCTACGTTCCCTTCCGCATCCCAACCACCCTGGCCGGAAATACGGACGACGTTTCCTACTTTGACAGCTTGCGAGTAATGGAAAGCTTTCGACTTGGATTCGGTTCCAGCGTAGTTTCCGAACGTTGCCATAGTGAAGATCTCAACGTCGATAGTGAGCTGCGTTTGAGGCTAAATGAAGAAGAAGTCGGTGACAAGTGTTCTAGTCAAGAAGGAGTCGGGCGAAGAAGCTTATAACACAGTCTTGGGGATGATCGCGACTTATAGGCCTATGCATCGTATGGGGCGTATTTCCGCTGTTGGGTCCCGTAATGTATGTTCGCAACACAGCTCCGCGTCATCGCACTGGAGTCAAGCCCCAGACTACGACAAGAATGTTCAATCGAGAGGCCAATAACTCAAAATTGCCCGGTATTTGCCTCGCTCTGGTATAGGCAAGCTCGCTATGGTTGAATTGCTCTCCTTGACGAACGGAAGTGGAGCGTCCCCGCACTACATATCTGACACAAACAAACAAGCTTCTATCTCCGATATGAATGATAACGCTGGAATCACGGAACATCTCAACATGGAAGGTTACCAGGCCTCGTTTCCGCCACGAGATATGGGACCGGGGTTTAGCGTGGCGATGCCTTGCAGTTCGAGCTATACCCAGCATGGCAAGTACAGCGGCCATTTCTTGACCCACATTTCTCTGCAAACCTATACACGCGATCCTACGCTAAGGTGTAGATAGTCGCCAATGGTGTCATTCGGCATTGTCAACGTCCATCTCACGATGATCTAGCATTTAACTGCTCTTGTCGTCTGCTTGAAGCGTCGTCGGAAGCAGCGCACGGGGAAATACTACTACCTAATGTACATGTTATCGATCAACCCAGTCTTGACGCCTCTGGGCTTTGCGGCGTTCTTGGTTGTACTTGCGGTTGGCCTGGTATGGCGGACGAAGAAGACTTCGAGCAAAAAACTCTCTCCATCTTACGACGTGAAGCAAAAAGGTGCAGTTGATCAGAATATCTTCAATTTGAACAGGACTGACCTTTCCAAGTCCCATCTATACCATTCAAAACACCGTTACCGCAGCCGGCGGAAGACTACAAACTTGAGCTTACAGATCCCAAGCTCTATCGACCCTTCCGCCATGGACCAAACTTTGTAACAATGGGGATCCGGAAAATGAATTGGAACCAATGGATTGAAATGGATTCGAATTTTATCCCTTATCACGACGCCAAGGTTCGGGAGCTCGAGAAGGACGTCAAATCCCGGGTACAATATGTCGACAACGAAGTCACGCGCCTCGCATGCTTTGAGGTCCTGGAAGAACTGACGCAATATCTCACGCATCGCTATCCGGAAGTCTTCCAATTGCACGGCAACATCCTTCATAACACAGTCACTGGTGAAGAATTTCAATACCCAGCACCGAACCCGACGGAAGCTATGGTTACCGCAGCAAAGCTCGTCCAGGACGATCTCGTAGTCATGGTATTGAATGACGATGGCCAATACCACATCGATGCGGGCGCGGTCTGCCTACCTGGGTTCTGGCGTTTGACTGAGAAATACCGCATGTCGCTCGACGAACTCCATATCGAAGCCGGTGTACCTCATTACCAAGAGAAGTTGCAAAAGGCCATGAATCGTTTCTTCGCAAATATGACGTGTGAGAAGCCTGTCATTCGGAATAACGTAAGTAGCACCAACGTCACTACAAATAATGAGGTACCAGTGCTGATAGATCTGTAGTTCTTCATCCAACTGGACGACGGTCTCGCATGGTCACACCGCATGGGCGATCAGAACTCCAACGCGGTTGCTTCCTGGGCCACTGCCAACTCCAAAGGTCTCCGTGTCGAAGACATCCACTTCCGCTCCGAACGGCAATCTCTGCGACGTCTGCCAAAGTCCAAAGCTCTACTCTTCACCATCAGAACGTACTTCGAGCCGGTGACGACCATTGCGAAGGAGCCGCATGTGCCAGGAAGACTGGCCGAGGCGATCAGGGGGTGGGATGAGACTGTCAGTTACTACAAAGGACGAGAGCATTGGGAAGGTTTGTTGCTTCCGTATCTGGATGAGGAACATAGGAAGCAAGTTGATAGTGGGGTGTTAGAGAAGCCGGAGGGTGAGTTCCCTTTTTGAGTGTACACCATTGCCTGTAGGTGTCTAGTATGAATATACTTTATTGCATACTATAGAGTTCTTGCGATGCTCTCGAGATCCACACCACCGATGAATGCTTTCGTATTTGCCATGCTTGGCCGATAAAGCCTAAGCTTCTAGCTTGGGACTCTCTGTAGAACTACCCATGTACATCACGCGATCGCTATAGCGAAAGCGCAACCTTCCAGTGCTGCACCTTTTAGATAAAAAAGAAATCACGATTAGCACCAGGCATGGGTGCAGTTTGCGTCTCGCTGTTATAGACAACATGATCAAATAGAAATATACATCAATTTAGAAACTATCGACTTGGCAAGATCTGACAGTATGTATACTGCAAGCTACCCCAACGGCGGCGCGAAGCGAAGTACATCACTAGCCTACGAGAGCAAGAAGATTCGCCACATTAGTAGACATCATCAACCTCATCAGGCGGGCCCCTGAATTCTGTTCATGGTCAGCAAAGTCACCAGCCAAACATGAACACGTTGATACTTACTGTTTCTGCCAGAGAGCGCATACCATAGCCCGCTCAAACACGCAAAGCCGATCAATACGACACTAGCGTAGTTCATCGAAACCTCGGTAACAGGAAGCGCAGTTGGCATGCTAAAGAGCACCAATTCGAAGAGGATCCATGCCACAGCACCGATGTTTGCTGCGGTGCCCACCAGACCACCAACATTCCACTTTGCATGTGCGACTTCTCTCCTACCGGTGAAGAGAGAGATAGCGATAGGAACGAGGTACCCGATGGCGAGTGCGATGACGCCGACTGATGCGAAAGCGGTGAACGCGCTGCTGGAACCAAGATTGATGAGACCGAGTAGCATCTCGATGACTGTGACGAGCGTGAGCGAGTAGATGGGCCGGTCGGCGATAGTGCGCGTCCAGAGGCCAGCGAGGGGAAGCGCGTTGTCGCGGCTGAACGCCCATGTGCAATGTGAAGCAGCAGTCGTGATTGCGATGGCGCAGAAGAGAGTGACAAATAGTATCATTATCATCAATATCAGCGCTCTTGTCTTCGAGCCCATGATAGAATATATGATGTACGGTAGCGCTTGGCCGTAGGGTGCGTTGAGGATGTCTTCGAGCGGCGGTAGCGTAAAGCATAGCGGCAGGACGAACAGGAGCGATGCGAGCCCACCAAAGGGTATGCAGAGGGCGATAGCACGAGAGACTTCAATTTCGGGCTGAGCGCACTCTTCCGTCATTGATGTCACCATGCCGATGGCGGAGAAGGCGTATGCTGGTGGAAGGAGGCCGATGAAGAACGTAAAACCCGTACCCCAGCCCGAGAAACTGCTGTCGTAGTTGCCGAGCGCGTAGGAGACTGAATGTCGACCTTGCTGAGCGCGGACCGATAGAGCAACCAGAAGTGCGATGATGGTGATGAAGTTCCATACCGCGGCCACGGAGTCCACATACGGTAGCAGCTTGTCTCCCAATGAGCAAACAAGGAAGACCAGCAGACACAGCGCGTAGAAGATGAGAAGCAGTTCCCAGTCCGATGCTACCCACTCTGGGTTGTAGATTGATACCGTCGCCGCGATAAGGGAAGCAAAACCGAAGTTGACGGACAGTGCAATGGTCCAGTTTCCGATGAGCCAGAACCAGCCTGTCAGAAATGAGACGATCTTGCGTGTCCTCTTGCGCTGACCACAGAGCCGATACGACCAGTAGTACACACCAGAAGATGTTGGATACCGTGATGCCAGCTCTGCAAGCGAAATCGCGACACAGCCATTGAAGAACAGGACAACCAGTACGCCGACGAATATTGACAGTTGGCCACCACCGTAGATGGCGCTCATCAAGGGACCGCCAATACCGTAAGGTACAGCCACGATGGCAAGACACATACCCAGAACGCTAATGAGTGACCGGTTCTTCGTGAGCTGCGCGTCGTATCCCAAATGGACGTGCTCAACGACACCCTCCTCGCGCGTAGTCACCGGGCCCATTGGATTGCCGAGCTTCTTCTCGCTGTTGGTCGCCGACATAGTGGGAAAAAGACGATTCTCGAAATCAAAAGGGCAGGAATGATGCGGCGTCGAGTTTCTGCACGAGGTGAATGAATATAGCTGTTACAGGCAGTTCCATCTCATGCCGTACATGCGCTATGCTCGACAATGTGGCGTCCAACATGATAAGATATGACGATAGTTCATTGTCCACAGATAGCGAGCACCGTCCATACTGGCTCTCTACCCCGGACTGAAGTGTCTTGATTCGAGGTCAAGCCTGTATTGACTGCATCTCTACTGACTCGTCAGAACATCGCTTCGAGATAAGCGGTGGCTTGAATAGTTTTGCGGACTACCATATGATAAAACAACCAAACCGGAAGTTCTAGCGTCAATGTAGGCTCCAGAGTGCTCGGTTTTCCCTTGTGCATGGTGCAGCGATGCCCTGTTTTGGAAGGATGATAGGCCTCTGGTAGTCGTTTCCGGGGCCCCAGATTTCGCGTGTAGAGCGCTCGCACATGACTTTGTTAAGTAAAAGCTTATCTTTCGCTCAAGCCTTAGATGCGCCGTCAGATCCGTGCCGCTGGAAACATACCAGAAACGTCTCGAAGGTCTGGATAACGACTATGCCCGGGAGAGCAGTTTGGAGGGCAATGTCAAAGCGTGTGCTTGCGTGCTCGAGATGCCGATCTGACATTTGGGCCCTGACAGTGGAGCCTCTGCATTAGTGTGGTACTAAGCCAAAGATGGCAAGTTAACGGGCAAAGATGGCCTTGAGAAACGCAGACTACCTTATCACTTGAGGAAGTCACTGGCCAGCGCAAAATGTGGACATCTTGAACAAGTCGACGCCAAAGTGTTCCTCTGGAGTTCCGAGTCTGCCTGTGGACGCCTTGTTGATGGACCCACATTCAGGAAACCACCACATGCCTTCGGCAGCGCGTCTTGGTCAGGTTCTTGTCTGTTTTGGGAAATTTAATGGGCATAGCTTCTTGGGATAGTATGATAGTGGTCGCGAACCTGATTATGACGATGTGGGACAAACGTCTTTGCGCAACCTCGGTACGGGGTGGGTGTGGTGTAGACGCGTTGATCGAGAGCGCAGGATATGAAGACCAAATGTCCAGCTCTGTCCACGAGTTGTAATTTTCTATCCTCGTTGTATAACACTCTCTGCATCTTGACCCTTCTTTTGCCGCACACATATTTTCCACAATGGCCCAGTCGATCGACCTTACAGCACCTAATGGCGCGAAGTGGACGCAGCCCACTGGTAAGCATCAACAACTCCCAATATTGTAGGCGTGAACAACTAACATTGGTTAGGTCTCTTCATCAACAACGAATTTGTCCCCTCCAAATCCGGCTCAACACTAGAGTCGATAAATCCGTACGACGAGTCCGTCATCGCAAAGGTCTCCGCCGGGAACGAGGATGACGTAGATGCTGCAGTCGCCGCAGCACGAGCTGCCTTCAAGTCATCAGCATGGCGCGACATTTCTGCCGCCGAACGAGGCCAACTGCTGTGGAAGCTCGGTGACCTCTGCGAGAAGAACAGCCATATTCTTGCTACCGTCGATGCGTGGGACAACGGCAAGCCTTACCAGCAAGCCATGGACGAAGACGTCGCTGAGACTATCTCGGTCTTCAGATACTACGCAGGATGGGCGGACAAGGTGTATGGGCAGACGATTGAGACGAGCAATGCGAAGCTGGCTTATACCAAACACGAACCCCTTGGTGTCTGTGGACAGATAATCCCATGGAACTTCCCTGTCATGGTATGTATCCATCGACTCCGGCTGGTGTAATTCAAACCTAACAAGCCTCATAGATGGCTGCTTGGAAACTCGGTCCAGCATTAGCTTGCGGAAACACCGTTGTGCTCAAGCCAGCAGAGCAGACACCACTTGGGGCACTATTCCTGGCCACCTTGATCAAGGAAGCTGGCTTCCCTCCAGGTGTGGTTAACATCGTCAACGGCTACGGCAAGAGCGCAGGCTCACGGCTTTCTGAACATCCGAATGTCGACAAGATTGCTTTCACAGGAAGCACCATTACCGGCCGAGCCATCATGAAGGCAGCAGCAACGAACCTGAAGAACATCACTTTGGAGACTGGCGGCAAGAGCCCACTTCTTGTATTCGATGACTGCGATCTCGAACAGGCTGTGAAGTGGTCGCACATGGGTATCATGGGTAAGCTCCCTTCTCTTTGCAACTTCACTTGCCGTACACAGGACTAACCAAGCCGTCAAGGTAACATGGGTCAAGTCTGCACAGCAACATCCCGGCTCTATGTCCAGGACACCATCTACGACAAGTTCCTCGAAGCGTTCAAGAAGCAGACCAAAGAGAGTACCAAGATTGGTTCGCAATTCGATGCTGACACCAACCATGGACCTCAAGTCAGCAAAGCTGCCCAAGAGAAGATCCTTGCATACCTCGACACAGCGAAGTCAGACGGAGCTGAGCTCGTCTTCGGCGGCCAGCAGAGCGGCATACCAGAGAAGGGATACTTCGTCGAGCCGACTGTGTTTGCCAACTGCAGCAATGATATGAGGATTGTGCGCGAAGAGATTTTCGGTCCTTTTGTTGTTATTCAGAGCTTCAAGACAGAAGACGAAGCGGTCGAGAAGGCGAACGATACGGAGTTCGGATTAGGAGCGGCTGTGTTCACTCGGGACATTATGAGGGGCCACCGCGTGGCAGGTGCGATCGAGGCGGGTATGGTTTGGATCAACAGCAGTCAGGACTCGCATTTCGGTATCCCGTTCGGTGGCTACAAGCAGAGCGGTATTGGGAGGGAACTGGGCGCGTATGCGCTGTCTGCGTACACGCAAGTGAAAGCTGTCCATGTTAACTTGGGCACGTTCTTGTAGACTTACTTTTAGTGGATGATTTGGAATATGTACCATTCCGATGTATCGCTACACATGCAATGCGGTTATTTGGAGGGTGATGATGCTCCTACCCAGATGAGATCTTGGGCGATGGGTGATGACGCAGCGTGTCATAGTCGCGTCGCGTCGGGTTAACACCGCTCCACGCTTATCTCCGTCTCAGCAACCGCCACCCAGCAGCACCTTCCGCGACCACTACTGCAATCCTAGACTCAACACCCGTTCCTAAACCCCTCTCCGTTTGAAAGCCGGTCATCGCATGCGCAAAATCCTACAATGGTCCTCGGCTTCGAGCGCATCAACGAGCGCACCCAACGCCCGAACGCGCACATAAACTTCATACGCACACTGCCCGGTCCGACATCGTCCACGGCGGAAAACATCCTGAACCGCGTCGCAGCAATATGTTATCCCTTTATGAAATCGCATATGATCCTTGTTCAGGCGCTTGAAGAATTCCCATACAACACCGAGTTTGTCGGCCGCAACTTTAACGCTGGCGAGGTCATACAACTGGTGCTCAGGGACCGAAATGGAAGATGGCTGCCCCAGAGGATGGTGGAGATGGTCATGGTACATGAGCTTGCGCACTGCAAACAGATGAATCATTCGAAGGCTTTCTGGAAGGTTCGAGATGGCTACGCGGTGGAATTGAGGGCGCTCTGGACAAAAGGGTACACTGGCGAAGGACTGTGGGGTAGGGGTAGAGATCTGGATACGGGAGCCTTACAAGCGAGCGATGGCGAGGCTGTGGATGTACCCGGGCATCTATGTGGTGGCACATATGGACGGAAGGGAAACAAGAGAAAGAGGGGTGGAAAGGAGAGGCCCCTGCTGAGCTATGCGGAGAGGAAGCAACGAAGGATACTGAAGAAGTTTGGGGCTGGAGGCCAGGCATTGGGTGCCGATGACGACACAAAAGTTAAGCTGGAGAAGGGCGCCCCAAAGAAAGGCAAGCCTAGGGTCGCTGGTAGCGCACGAGGACGAGATCTCAGAGCTGCAGCGGCACTGGCACGTTTCGAGCCAGTCAAGAAGGAGGAAGAAGTCGTGATAAAGAAAGAAGAACCGTCATCGGAAAGCGAAACAGAAGACGAGTTTGTCGAAGGCGATCAAGACGGCGCAGCGGTAGACGTAGATGGCAAGAGCATGTTCGACGACAAAGGCCGCGCCCTGGTCAAGATCTGCGAGGACGAAGACGACAAAGATGGCGATGCAAGGAGGGAGATGGACGAGATACAAGGTTTCGCGCCGCAGCACAAACCAGCGAAGAAGACAGCGTCATCGTCCAAGGCCTCGAGCAAGCCATCAGCACCGAAGTCAACGAAAACTCAGTCTGCATCAAAGACCGCCTCGCGATCGACTGCCACCCCTCAAGCATCAGCAGGGTCGGCCAACTCTCTTCCAAAGGTCTTCAAACCCCGTCCCAAACCGAACACGGCCGCCTCACAACCCCAGCCACCGCCGAGCTCTGCCTGTCCCATATGTTCCCTCGAGAACGAGGCCGGAGCATTGACATGCGTCGCTTGCGCAAATGTATTAAAGAAGGACTTTGTACCCGACCACTGGCGATGCAAGAGCGCTGCTTGCGAGGGAAGCCAGTACATCAACGCCGGGGACGCAGGTGCTTGTGGCGTCTGTGGGATGACTCGGAAGAAATGAGATGAACACTGTGCAGTGGAGCAGCATGGAGAAGAGGCTGGTGGCCGCAGCGATGATGGAATGATTATGATACCCAATTTCCTGAAGAAATAACAACACCGTTACAATGCACTGCATTCCGAGCAGATCAGATCCAGATGTCATGACTTCATTCCATGCAATAACGCTACGCTAAAGTCAACAGTGGCAAACCACAACACCCATCCCATGATGATCAACACCAAGCCATGCATAGTAATGACCAAAGAACGCCTTTCGCCTCCCACCATTCACGGGTACTGCAAGTCCTACCTCGCAATCCTCAGATGCGAGGCTCCTAAGTTTTTCCTCGCGCTAGTCGGCATGCCCGCGCCCCTTCCACTAGTTCGCCTCATGCTCTCCAACTTCGCCTTGAGCTGTTCATGTATCTTCCTGTTCTGGGCCCACCCATCGGCCAGCTTTTGCATTCGAATGGCGGCGATGACAGCGAGAGCTGCAGATTTGAGCTTGGGTCGGCGGTCGTGAACGGTGACGTCGGGGGTGATGCCCATCTGAGAGATGAGATTGAGGTCTTCTTGATTGCTGGGAGGTGTTAGTGGCTGTACTGCACAGAGTCTCTGGTAAAGGGGTGGAGACATACCATTCATTGTAAGTCTGAATCTGCATCAAGAAGAACTTCTTTTGGTACCCAAGGGCTTCCCGGAACGCCTCTGCTCGCGAGCATCGTGCGCGGAGGAACTGGATCTGCTTGGCGAGACCGTTGATCTCTTTGATATGGCGCTTAGTAAGGGCTTCCGCCTGTTCGTCCAGATCAATCGCATCCTGGTTGGCCTTTTGTTGGATGGACTTCGAGGAAGCTTGGATGAGACGAAGCTGCGATTCCTTCTCACGGAGGTGAGACTGTAGGTCTCGTAGTTGACGCTCAAGGGCGGATTGCTGTTCCCGTGCTGTCGACTTGGCTTCAGATAGAGATTTGCGGTGTTGAGCATCCTTGTCGCGGATCCGTCCTTCAAGATCGCGAATCTGGTTCTTAAGAGCGGCCTCTTGTTCGCGCTGTGCCGCACGGGTCTGAGATTGCAGGGCCCCGTTTTCGTTCTCCTTTTCGCGTATCATAGATTCCAGAACGGTGATCTTCTCTTCGAGCGAGGCCTTCTCCTCGGCGACTTCGTCGGCATCCTCTTGCAGAACTTCTATCTCAGCTTCGAAGTCGTCCTTCTCCCGGCGAGCGTTCTCCTTGAGCTCCTCAAGTGCTTCCAAGCGCTCCTCTGCAAGTCGTTGCAGGGCATCAACTTGGCTCCTCTGCTCGTTCAGCTCGTCGCGCAAATTCTCTAGCTCGTCGTCGCGCTTGCGTACTAGGTCCTGCATAACATCGATTTGGGTATCGGGCTCGTCGGCATGGCTCCGTAACGCGTCAAGCTCGGCCTCGCGCTCGGTTATCGTTCGTCGCGCTGTATCCAGCTCCCGGGTCCTGTCACTAAGGTCATTCCTGAGTTGTTTGAGCTCCTTGAGTGTTGTCTCTTGTGCTTCAATCTTCCTCTGCAGGCCGGCGATATCGCGCTCACGAGCTTGCAACGTTGATTGCGAGTTCGAAAGATCTCGAGATAGTGCATCCCGTTCGCGCGTGATCTTCTGGAGCGCCTCGATCTGGGTGTCCTTGCCAGATACAGCGGACCGTAAGTTGCGCAGTTCGCTCTCGATGTCTTTACGCTCCTGCCGCAGAGTAGCTACCAATGTGTCGCGGTCGTTGTTGCCTCTGCGCAAAACCTCCACTTGCTCATCTTTGCTCGACATCTTGGAAACCAAGTTGTCGCGCTCACGGCGAAGATTGTCACGTTCTCGTATGGCGTTGTTGAGCGACTGTACCTGAGCATCTTTGTTGTTGAGGTTTGAGCGAAGGCCGGTAAGCTCCTGCGTCGCATCATCGCGCTCACGTCGTACTCTTTCCAACCCATCCAGATCGCGGTCTTTCTGGTTCAGTTCACGTCGAAGCTGTTGCAACTGCTGTTCGTATGCGGATGCTTCCCGTTGTAGGCGTGAAATCTGCTGCATAGCGTCTTGGTGCTGCTTCCGGAAGTCGTCTAGCTCATCAGCTCTGGATTCAGCAGCGTCGACCCTCGATTGCAGTAGTTCAATCTCAACGCCCTTTTCACGAGTAATCTCGACCACCTTCTGTCTGGCATCGTTGGCGGATTGCTGCGCCAATTGAACCTGGTTGTCTCCCTGAGACTCCGCAAGCTCCAAACGTTCGCGCAGTGCATCCATCTCAGCATCCTTCTCGTTTTGAATGGTTTGGAGGCGCCGCTGCAGCTCTCGGAGCTCGGCATCCTTTTCGCGCTCCAGTGAACGTAGGCGCTCCTCGAGAACAGAGAGTTCCTGGCGTTTTTGCTGCTCTGCGACCTCGAGATCATGTTCCGCTTCATCCAGGCTCTCGTTCAACTCCCGAATTTCCTGGTCCTTGCTGTCGTCGGCGCTGTCGAGCTTGGACTTCAAGGCGTTGATTTCAGCGTCCTTCTCGCGCTCGACGGCACGAAGTTGTTCCTGGAGGTCCTCGATCTTCTCGCCCTGTTCAGCCACCTGCCGCTCCTTTTCTGTGGCGTCTTCTTCTTGCGACTGCTTGGCCGATTGCAGCTGTTCTTCCAACTCGGCGATGCGTTCGGCTTGGTCCCTAAGTTGGCGGTCCTTCTCCTCGTCACCGGCAGACTGGGAACTTTGCGCATTCTTCAGCTTCTCCTCCAAGTCCTTGATCTGTTCGTCCTGGTCGTCTAGCATCTCGTCCCGTCGGTTGAGCTCTGCTTGTGCCTCGTCCAACTCTGCTCTGACCTTGTCCAGCTCCTCGCTGTCGCCACTCTCTTCTTCCAGCTTCCTTTCGAGACGCTCCACCTCGGCCGCGCGTTCGTCGGCTAGCCGTCGGAGCTCGTCCATCTCTTCCCGCATGCCTTCGTCGACGTGCCGTCGCTTGACCTTCTCGGCGTATTCCCGTAGCTGCTGTTTGTATGTGTCTAGTTCCCTCTCGGCGGCTTTGAGGTCTTTCGAGTAGTTCTTGATATCGCGCGCCATCGTGACCTTCTCCGACTTAAGGTTGATGTTCTCCTCCATGGCTTGTCGGTTGAACTCGGGGCCCATCTTCTTCAGGTTCTCTTCCAGGAAATGAATCTTGAGCTTTAGTCCGAAGTTTTCCTTGTCGATCTGCTCCAGACGCTGCAGTTGTGTTAGAACCTGTGAGTAGTCGTGGCCGGGTGAGCCCGGATATACATACCGCTTCCTGCTCTCTCAGCGTAAGCACATTGCCGTTTCCGTTGTCCATTTCGCCCTCTGCCCTTCTTGGTAGCGCGGTGGGCGTGCTCATAGCACTCGAGCTGGGGTCTGGCAGCTGTGTCCGGCCATCGACCGAATCGGCGAAGGAACTGGAATGTATGTCGTACATGCTCGCCTCGGGCAGCGGCGTATTGCTCACTTGGAAGCCTGGCTTCATTGCGGCGGGCGTCGTAATCTTGCCGTCGAGCAGTCCGTTGACCTGGCGCGTGCGATTCGCGGTTGCGCTCTTCAGCATGGGCGTGAATTCGTTCTTCGCGGTTTGTTGGCGTCGGGATGCAAGCGGCTGTCGGGGGGTTCGGGCGCCGCCCATCTGTTTGAAGAGGTTGTCGCGGTCTGTCGGCGCATGGAATGTCTCCTCCATGCTGAATGAGGGCTCGTTGACTGTAAAGCGCGTCATATCGCCAACCTCGGTGCGAGGCGTGTCCGGTAGGTGCGCCATGGTATAGAACGTACTCTAGCAGCGCATGAGTGAGAGAAATAGAAAAGTCCTTTGGGGCGCACCTCAGCAGTGCGGATGCATCATGTTCCACTTCATCATACTCCAGATGTTGTTTGTTTAGGGACGCTTGGACCACGACAGGGATACTGCCCGCCGCTAGCCCATGCAGGCAAGGACCCGAAAAGCGCGTCTGGAAGTCACGTTACCTCTTTGCCGCCTACACCAGAGACTTCAATCCAGGATAAATGCTCCTCTGCTACTAAGTACATCCATTTCCGCCCCTCGAGAACAGTGGCAATACGAAAACACAACCTAAAAGTACCGAACCGACTATACCCGCACAAGCGTTGGGCTCAGTCTCGAAACAACAACGAAGCCAAGATCCATCTGACTGGCTCCGAAAACCAAAGATAGCACCATCCGGAATATATATCCTGGACCATGGACGGGCCACAAGACGACCTTAAGTGGTTTGGTGAAGGATTCGATGGCTTTCCCAAAAAGCTGCCCGATGATGTCGTGGAATACATGGTCTTCATCATCGATTCTAGGCTCTCAGACGTCCAGACAAGAGAACGGTTACAAGCTTTCCAACGCGCTCTAAATGCATTAGAGAAGAAGTTTCTCAAAGAGTACATATGGCAGCGTGACTCTCTCAAGCTCGATCTAGTTCGCGAAGAACACCAGTGGCTGCTCAAAGGACGCTCTAACTACGGCGATAGTGTGGCAGACGAATGGCTTATTGTCTACTTTCTACGTGAACAAAGCAAAGAGTTCAAGGACGCATGGATACGCATATATGACAGCGATGGAGAGTTCCTCCTGATCGAAGCTGCCAATGCACTACCGAAGTGGCTGAGCCCTGAGGTTGCCGAGAACAGAGTCTGGATCAACAGTCATCGCCTACTAATTATACCACTCGGAAAAGAAGAGGAGCCCGGCCCTTTGACTCAAGCACAAGCTATTCAGATCATCGACGCTACACCAGCACGACCACAGCAGTACATCAAGGTTGAAAAGGAGGCTTTTCATCGCCTGGCTGGTTATCCGGCTGCCATCTCGGAGAATCAACATCACGCGACTCTTCCTTTGCCAAGGAAGGTTGCACATATTCTGCACAGCAACCCGTCGTATATCGCACCAGTAGTCGAAGCCTTCTATCTTCGAGATCCCATCTCCATCCGGCTCATTCAACCCGAAAAGTCCAAAACTCCGCTCACTTTCCCACCGGAAGACTTTGTAGACATCAGCGTTCGTTTCACTAAAG